CCAGACATCGCCAAGCTGCCCAACCTGGTCTACCTGAACCTGTCGTCCAATAAGCTCCGCAGTCTGCCCGCCGAACTGGGCAACATGGTCTCTCTCAGGTAGGCTGTCTGCTGGTATTTCTAACTTCACTTAAGGAGACGTGCGTATTTAGCCTTGAAAACGAAGAATTCTTCAGAGTCACTGAAGGGATAGTAGAGCCATCTCAAAGCAATGAAGAGAAGCGATCATGATAAACACAATGTTTAAAAACACAGGGAACATTTTGAAGAGAGGGGGTGATAAAAGCATCTCGCAAACAAAAACAAAGCTGTCAAGCAGAGACTGAAGATGTGACAACAAGAATGTGTGGTGGACGACGCTTTGATGCCAGTAGAAACACATCAATGATGAGGAATCACCAAACTGTTAGAAAAAACACTGTTTTTGTCTCGTTTCTTGCAGGGAATTGCTTTTAAACAATAATCTTTTACGAGTTCTGCCTTACGAACTTGGAAGGCTTTTCCAGTTACAAACCCTCGGGCTAAAAGGTGAGTTTTGTTTTTCATTATTACGATTTTGGAGCAGCAAAAATGAATGTCTGAAGCCCTTTTTCCATTAGTCCCTACTCGGATCGGCTCCACACATCTCTAGACGGTACCACTTAGCCTGTATTCGATTTCCATTCGATTCGAGTACCACCTAATGTTTGTGGGGTCGTTATAGCAACGCAGCCAAACATCCCGTGACATCATTTGCATGCGACACGAGCGCTACAACAAAAGCGAGCGTCAAGACTCTGACTTTTTGGGGGTTTTTTGTAGCCATGTTGCTCGTTGCTGGGTTTCAATAATGTCTGTTTTGGTTTTCACGATGGAGACGCTCTCATGAGTCGTAGAGTGACGCCACTGACTACCCAATCGGTGGCATGCGATCTCTTGACGTCGCATTTTGGATTGCCTGGGATCTCTTGGAACCCCACTTGAGTAGGTGCTAAAAGGTACCAGGTAATCACCTAATGAAAAACCGCGTCGTGCGACCTGACTCACCCGAGTAGGTACTAATGGAAAAGCGATATAAAAGTACTGAATCACTGCTGCTTACCAAAAAAACCTGAGAATTTCTCCCGTAATGGTAGCTGTTGAATAGAGTGCGCAGACAGTTTTTTTTTTTTTTCCTTCGTATAAATGTTTTTGGCTTCTCTCAAAGAGTTTCAATGAGAGCTAAAAGTGTTGTTCAAGCACTCAAGCACATTTAATGGTCACAAATAGCCAGCAAACGCATAGACTCCTATTTAGTCCCTCTCCCAAAGGCCAATTGTAAGGTAGGAAGAAAGAACAAAACCCAAAACTGATTCATTTGATCGAAGACCACTTCAGCAACAACAACTCATGACAGGTATGGCAGGGAGTTCAGCACTTAACCAACTACAAACCTTGCAATACCACGTTGACTGAGGGTAACGCGGCGCTTGCGGAGGAGCTGAACCACTTCTTCGCACGCTTTGAGGTGAAGGGACCAGAGGCGGCAGCAGCAAAAGCATCGGACAGCAGCAGCAGCCCAAGCCTCATGGTGCAGGAATATGATGTGAGGCGCACACGGAGGGCAGTGAACCCCAGGAAGGCCGCCGGATCAGATGGGGTAAACGTGACATCATTTGCATGCGACACGAGCGCTCTGTATGCAAACTGGAGCGGTTCGCATACAGAGCTAACAGATCAACTGAAGATGCCATTGCTACAACGCTCCACACCACCATCTCTCACCTGGAAGTGCAGGGCCGTTACGCCAGACTGCTCTTTGTTGACTTTAGCTCTGCTTTCAGTACGATACTCCCGGACAGACTAATAGTTAAACTGCTGGAAATCGGACTTCCTTCTACCACCTGCCGCTGGATCAGAGACTTCATCTCAGGGGGAGATGAGACGGCGTACAGAGCTGAAGTTCAGAGGCTGTCAGATTGGTGTGTAGATAACAACCTGGACCTCAATACCACCAAGACACAAGAACTGGTAGTTGACTTCAGAAGGAGGAAGTCTGAGCTGCAGCCTGTCAGCATCAACGGGGAGTGTGTGGAAAGGGTCTCCAGTTTCAAGTTTCTGGGTGTGCACATAGACACAGACCTCCAATGGAGCTCTAACACCTCTGCGGTCTTAAAGAAGGCCCAACAGCATCTCCACTTTCTGAGAATCCTCAGAAAAATAGACCTGAAGAAGGAGCCGTCTTCTACTGCTGCTCCATTGAAAGTGTGCTGACATATTGCATCGGTGTGTGGTTCTCCAGCTGCACCACAGCACACAGAAAGGCACCCCAGAGGGTCATCAACATGGCCCAAAAAATCATTGGACATCCTCTTCCCTCCCTGAAGGACCTGTACAGCACTCGCTGTCTCAAGAGGGCACGCAGCATCCTACGGGACTGCACACACCCACGACACCGGGTGTTTAAGCTGCTGCTGTCTGGCAGGAGGTTCAGGCTGCTGAGGTCCCGAACAAATAGACTCAAGGACAGCTGTTACAACAGGGCAACAGCCCTGATCAATGCAAATAGCTGACCTGACTGGCTACCGCCCTGGACTTTTTTGGGGGGGAGGTAACAACGATAAAAACAGTAACAATAATAATATTTATATTTATAACAAGATGCAATAATAACAGTGTGCAATTCAAATACACTTATTCTTCTTTTTTATTACTAAGTTAATGTACTGTGTTGCGTTGTGATGTGTCGTGTTGTGTTATATGTAGTGCCGACGTAGGACAGTTTTCCAATTTCATTGTACTACTGTACTATGTATGACTGTGCAATGACAATAACGAGTTATCTTATCTTATCTTATCGTATTTGCAGGAAATCCTTTGTCCCAAGACATCCTCAATTTGTACCAGGAGCCAGATGGAACCAGAAAGCTTTTGAACTACATGCTCGACAATCTAGCAGGTAAACGGCTCGGCAACGCACGACCTCACCCCTCATCTGTTTATCAGAACTCATGCATATTTTATCAAACAGTTTTTTTTGTAGACCTCAGCGCTGCAGGTATATCATAGCAGGTAAACCACTGTGTCTGTCACGCACAAATGAGCGCTAATCCCGGCTTGTTTTTCCAGTGCACCCAGAGCAGCTCCCCCAAAGACCTTGGATCACTCTGAAAGAGCGAGACCAAATGATCCCCACCGGTAAGTTTCCTTCATATAGTAACGTGGCACTGGAAGTGAGTCGTTTATGAGCTGATGGCTTCTTATGCTCTTTAGGTTATCCGTAAAGCCCAGCATTACCCAGCATGCCGTGTTATAGTACAATTATGTACGTCTGAAAATCTGGATAAGCCACTGTGGGTATTTTCTATAATCACTCTTATGGCTGCAGTAAAAATTGATATCATGCATAAAATAAAAACTTGCATACTGTCCAGCAGCATTTTTATAGAATTAAATAGCACCTTTACAGCCTGGGATGAAAAACAGATGTACCTGGAGAAGATTTCTTTTTTTTAATAACTTCCCCATTTGGATTCTGGTAAGGCTTAACGTTAGCTTTATGGCTGTGTTGATTGACAGAAAAAGCTTCAACTGAAACTGGCTCATAAATTTGAAACTGAGATAAACATTCAGATTTCTTAAAGTTAGCATTAGCAAAGTCCATTGATGATCCGTTCTGAGCTATTTGTAGAGCTGTTTCTTATATTTTGTAAACTTTGTAATATGTTGTGTTATTTAATTTAGTTCAGTCTGTTACTGTTATTGTCTTGGAGCAACTGTAACCACATGATTTCCTTAGGGATTAATAAAGTATTCTGACTCTGAGTTTGGGGAATAATTATTCAGGCTGTTCGTGGTAAACTACATTCATAACTGTCAGATGTGTCGTGTGTCTTTTCTCAGATGATTCAGTAATTTAGCAAACTTTACTTCTGTCTCCCTGTAGCTGTGTTCACGGTTATGTGCTACAACGTGCTGTGCGACAAGTATGCCACGCGACAGCTGTATGGTTACTGTCCATCCTGGGCCTTAAACTGGGAGTACAGGAAGAAGGGAATCATGGAGGAAATCACCAGCTGTGACGCTGACATCATCAGCCTACAGGTAAAGCTAGGCCGCCTTGTAAGATACTTTAAATCTTCCTCACTAACTGTTTTGCGGCATATTACTAGTATTTGTGGTGGAGCCATAGTGTACCTTACACAAAGAGATTTTTTAATAATTTGGATATCTTTCCACTCAGATGGTTATCTGGTTACATCAGTATTGGGGTTGTCTATGTGTATATCCAGACACAGTGCTGTGGATTGAGGTGAACTAGGCTACATCTTCCCAGCACCTCTTAGCCTCATGCACTAGGGCAGGGATCGGACTGCTCTCCAGTGCACAAGGCATTGGACCCATTTTTGCAGTTAAAGAAATGCTTTCGAAATCTGAACAAAAACAATAAAGATGAACTAAAACGAGCCTGCTTTTGTCTGGCTGTGTTTTTTCTAACATTTTTAATTGGCGCCATTGCCTTCTGTAGCCATCTGTCCGTCCCCTGAGGTGATTCCCCCACAATCGTGTCAACAAAGGTTGTTATTATTCTTCGGACTATTCTCCGCTCTAATCATTAGACTGTGTGCAGAGCTGCTGTAAACTGCTTGGATCAATCCACAGTATCCAGCGTTCACCTGTCAGCACAACCGAGCCATTGTGTATTGAAGATAAAGAGGTAGATGTTACTGATTAATCCTGCCCATACAAAGCTGGCTTTATTTTCCACTGAGTGGAAACTTCCCTGAGAAGTGCTGTATATTACCAACTAGTCCATCTGTGTAACAGCTAACCTGCAGGACATGCAGAAGAGAAACAAAACACTATTTATCATCAGACCCTGACAAAGCTGCATATTAATAAAATGATACAGTGACTGTGCCACATGCATACCGATAATTTCTAGATTTTGGCAGCCGTTTCAATCTTGTATGGATCTGAGAGACGTGAGGGAACAGGATGGAGCTAAAACTCATGCACTGCACAGAGAGCTCTGAGCCATCCACCTGCACCATTTAATCATGATGATGCACACCCCTTTCATTCATCAATCATGGCAAATTTTGCCTTCTTAAATCATGTTTGTGTGATTTAATTCTCCCTTCAAAGTTTTTTCCTCCGATAAAGCCACAGCAAAAATACCAGCGTTCATCTCTTTAGTAAATCATGACGGCTTTGACTGCTCATTTTGACTTCACTGGCGTTTTTGAGTGAAGTACACTTACAGTCATGAGTGAAAATCAAGGAATCAGAATGTTCATCCTTAGTTTTTAACCCCACCTGTCAGTGTTTTAATGTTGTGTGCGTTCCCTGTATATCTCATCTGCTCCTTTACGTGACTTTTCTTACCTTGTGTGTTTTTGCAGGAGGTGGAGACGGAGCAGTACTACATGTTGTTTCTGGAAACACTAAAGGAGCGCGGCTATGACGGCTACTTCTGTCCAAAATCTCGTGCCAAACTGGTTTCAGAACAGGAGAGGAAACATGTGGACGGCTGTGCCGTGTTCTTCAAGACTGAGAAGTGGGTTTAAGAGCTTTATTTTATACATGTTACAAAACATGCCTTTATGATTTGAAACTGTGTGAAAACATTTGATGAAAAGTTTTTCTACATAAAGAAAAAAATTTCCTCTTATTAAAATCTGAGTTCAAGTTGTTTTTTGGGGGTTTTTTTTGTTTTTTTTTTGTTTTTTTTTTCAGTTTCAGCTATAAAATTTATTTTATTATTATAATTATATTATTACTATAAATATGTCATTTTTGGGTAATCTTTGCCATAGATGGAGCTCAGCTCGCTGTGTTTTATGATGTATGATTTTTCATGTGATCTATTTAGAAATGGTCACAAACATAAGACTGCATCACAGACTCATCGCAGCCTGTTTGCATTTACTTTCCTTTGTAGTCGCCCAGCCTGGTTCTCTCTGAGCCAGGAAAAATGAAGGACGAGGAGCAGATTTAAAGGAGGAAAAACTTTTCATATGGAACTAGTGCATTTTCAAAGCCCTCATGGACATTTCTGCTGCTTGTTTGATTCTCTCACAGGTTCACTTTGATCCAGAAACACACTGTGGAGTTCAATCAGGTAGCCATGGCTAACTCTGAGGGTTCAGAGGTCATGCTGAACAGAGTGATGACCAAAGACAACATCGGGGTGGCCGTGCTGCTCGAGGTCAATAAGGACATGTTCTCCGGGGGTAAGAAAGGACTTTCATTTTGTAATTTAGCAGTTTAGGTAATTCCAAGTTGTTTTCTCCTGACCCAAAAATGGCTTCAGCTTTGTTATATTATCAAATTATCCATGACAACATAACCATGCATGTGAAACTGACTCGCCTGCCTCTGTAACTTGGAAATTTAGTTTATAAAATCAGCGTTATTACTTACATGTGATATATGCACACAGTTCAGTAGTTACAGAGCAAGATTTTTTAAAAATCTGGTTGTTTTCAGCTTGAAAATTGTGATCTACAATTATTTTTGCCCAAAATATTAAACAATTTAAAACTGCAGTAATGTATTTTCCCACAAGGTGTCACAATTGGGTTTTAATCAGAGGTTTCAGGGTGCTTTACAAAGAGAGTTAAGAAGTTACAACAAAGGCTGGAAATGGAAAGAGAGAAAGAAAAGATGTAATGTTTAAAAGACAAGTAAACCGAACAGAATATACGCTGTTAAAAATTAATTAAGGTACACTCGATTATCACAGTGTAACACAAAGCGAGTTAAACTTCAGGGATCCCAGTCGAGCTGCGCATCGGGCCTCCACGCCACTCTCATGGAGTCTGTTCCTGACAGTTTGTCAGAAACTTGCCCGCTGGAGGTCACCGTGTAGGGCGCTGGCAGTGCTCCTCCCGTATCTACCTGCACACAGATACAGGTCCTGCTGTTGGGTCCGGGCCGTCGTACGGAAAATGCGTTTTAGTGAAGTTGTGTCCACGGAGATTGTGTGTTTGAAGGTGTTTTGCCTCACTGTGGCTGATGATGCTCACATAATATCAGTGCTTTAAAGCTTATTTAATTAGTTAGTTAACTTACTAAGGTTTGCAGCGAGAGACAGGCACAGGCCATTTGCTCTCCCAGCGAGCTACAGTAAAACTTCTGTTTGTGGTCGTTCCCTGTCTGGTTTACTGATGCTCACTATATCGCACTCTTCCTTTTTAAATATTTTATTCTGTCAGCGCTTTTAAGTTTCTGAAGTTGCCTCATAGTTCTGTGGTTTACTGCATCTGAAATAAGACCACGATGAGGATTTGTTCAGGGGACTTTTACATCCTATTTATTTTATTTTTAGTTTTGGTTGTTTTCATGTGTCAGTGAAAGTGATGTACTATTTTGCTTACATAGCGTCTGTTTTTTTTCCCCAGTATAATTTTGTGGAACTATAAATGTCTGTACAGTAAAAGTGTGTAGAATTGTGTCATTCATATATTTTAAAGTCTTATTCTCAAAATAAGTGAAGAAAAAACCACAACTCAGATTTAGAATCATTGTCAGTTGATTTCTTTCCTCGTGTACTTTTTATATGCATCTTTCACGGCTTTATTCATAGAACTTTTTGTTCGTAAAAGCATAAATAAAATTCGTTGATCATATGTGAAAACTATATGTGGAAAGTAAAAGTTGTTTTTGTGTCGGGCTGTAAAATGCTGATTTCTGCTTTTAAGTTTTTGTTAAGTTGCTGCTTATTCAAGCGGCCACAACAGGAGCTGCAGCTTCTCGGCTTGTCTGCCGTTGTTTCTGGAAGTTGCTGCTTTTGGAAAAAGTTTCCTTTCAGGGCTTCTTTATGAAGACTTTTAGGATGTCACATGATCGAGTACAAATGGTGACAACGTTTTTTTTTTTTTTTTTAACTTTAAGGGAATCAAGTATTTTTCATTAAGTTTGTATTGGTCTTTAATTACATTTCAGTGAACTAGGGCTGTTCATATAACGATATATATCGGATGATGATATAAAAACATCTATCGTTTCATTTTATGCTATCGTTTGTTTCGTGGTGTCGCAAAATAAACTGTTTACGGCAATATTTTTTCATCGTTTTGATGGTCACTGTAGTGGCTATATTAATTTCTTAAAGTTCTCTCTTTCTCTTATATTTAATATAACCACACTACAGACGGACAAGCGCCTGTTTTTATGCGTTGTGGTTAGCAAAAACTACAGTAACAGCATCGCGTGTCCGCTTGTTTATGTTCCACATAAACCTTTCACAATAAAGCTCAACATCCTATTGAGACTTTTCAAAATAAACTGAATCGCGTGAAAGAGCAGATTATTTACGGATGAGAAGTAAAAATGAGCCGCCAGGTGCTAAAAAATAAACCTTAGACTCAAACGTTAGAACAGGCTTTTCCCCGCAGCACGTCGTGTAATAAATACTCACAAAGAAAACGGCGGCGTTTACAACTTATGTCTAAAAATGTATCGTTTCATGCATCGGTTAAAACACTCGACCCGAGATTCACAGATTTTACAGAAAATGTTACATTTTTGTGATTTATATCGTTATCGGGACGATAGAATTCTTATATCGGGATATGAGATTTTGGTCATATCGCACAGCCCTACAGTGAACTATAGTTTATATAAATGTATGTGAACCTGTTGGGGAGTGAATCTGAACTTTTAATAGAAGTAAAAGGACGTGAATTAAAAAGAGCATGAGAAGATTGTTTTTTACATTTTATCTTTTTTAATAATGTGTAAATCAAAATTTTAATTAAAGGAATTTTAATTAAAGCCCTACTTGACTTTTTTTTTTTTTAAGGCATGAAGCCGCCTCAGGAGAGGCAGCTCATCCTGGTGGCCAACGCCCACATGCACTGGGACCCCGAGTACTCGGACGTCAAGTTGATCCAAACCATGATGTTCCTGTCAGAGTTAAAGAGCATTGCTGAGAGGGCCTCGGGCTCTGTGGCAACGGGATCACCGACCTCTGACCCGTCCTCAATCCCCATCGTCCTGTGCGCTGACCTCAACTCGCTGCCTGACTCCGGTAGGGCTCTGTCACTTATCAGGAACCAGGGTCGTTCCATATAAATCAACCAAACCTGATTAAAGTTCCCACCTGATACATTCTGGACAGCTGATAACTTGACACAATTAATACATAACAAAGAAAAATAGATTTAGCTTGATTAAAATGACCTATCCGTGTTAAAAAATGTGAACCTTCATTATTTTATTTTATTATCTAGTTTTTTCTTTGTTTTTACCGGCAATGGGAAAGTGTCTGTATATTCGTTTGTTGCCAGCGTGGTTTCCATCATCAGTTTCCCTTTAAAGCCACGAATGATGTCATGAGTTTCTTTTCCTTAATTAAAGGATTTAATAATTAAATAAAGTTCTGATTAATATCTCGCTAATGTTCCTGCTCTTTGATGCAGGTGTGGTGGAGTATCTGAGCGACGGAGGAGTGGCCGAGAACCACAAGGACTTTAAGGAGCTACGCTACAGCGAATGTCTGACCAACTTCAACTGCAACGGCAAGAACGGAAACTCGGATGGAAGCATCACACACAGCTTCCAGCTCAAGAGCGCCTACGACAGCAATCTGATGCCTTACACCAACTACACATATGACTTCAAGGTAAAACAAAAACACAAATAAACTCGTTTCCATTTGAAGCCGTAACAGTAATTTATATAGTGCCCAAAATGTCAAAAGTCAAGCTGAGCGAGACCCCCAAACGTCTTCTGTGGAAGGAAAAAACCTTCAAGAAGCAGACTCAGAGAGGGCGTAGAGCAGGGTCGGGAATTTCTGGTCCTGCAAATGTGTCTGACTGAAAAGTTAGAGGGGGAGTTGTTTTCACCCACCCGAAACGTTCGCTGTTCCCTGCCCCACGCTTCAGGACGCCGAGATTCATTCTGTGTTTGTGTGATAACTTGGTCAAAGAGTGCAGTGAGTCACATTGGCTCTAATCAGCTTCTGTGAGAGGACACAGATGTCCCGCTACAGATGTTCTTTCCCCTTTTACTACTGAGTGATCTGACAGCTCACCTTATCCTGGTTTGAGTAAAGCAACTGAACTTGACGAGTTCACTGTTGTAGGTCTGCAGAAGTTGGTTGGTGGGTCGTGTCCGATTTTTGTGAGTCAGCTTATGTGTTTCTGTAAGTGAAGTGAGACAGAGTGAGCTCACTTAGAGAGAAGCTACCCAACTTAGGAAAAAAATGCTTACCAGTTACTTTCTTTTTTAAATGTAAAGGTTTACATTACTGGATCATATTTATCATGAAATGTGAGTCACTCTGCCAGCTAGTCTTGTTTCTGCATGTTAAGCAAGCCAGGGTTAGGTAATGATTGTGTCTTTATTCTTGAGAAAGCCGTTCCAAAGCAGCAATTATTCATGGTGGGGACCTCACGCATCTGAACCAGAGAGACCCCATCGGAGAGGAAGCTGCTACCGAGAAATAGTGGTCGTTGCATCAGTTTCTCATTAATCCACATGAGCTTGATTGTCACGCATGATTTCCGGTTAACAGTACAAACTTTAGATGGAAGAAGCAGGAAGAAGCATGAGTGTATCGGTGAGTGTGTGAATGGCAGCTTGTGCTTATACTGTGCAAATAGCTACAGTGCTGTGTCTGACTGCTACTGTTAACTGTTGAAGATCTGGGTCTGGGTATGTTTGCTACTAGTTTAGTGCTAGCATACTGTTTTTAGAGCCGCCGTGTACAGATATCAGTTTTTGTCCTGACTTTATCATCTTGCTCTAGTAATAATAATGCTCATATTTTCACTAACATCCACTATTTTCCTCCTCGCTACACAAAAACTGATGTGTGCAGGAATTAAAAGGCACAAATGAGGTTTTTTTTTTTGTTTTTGTTTTTGTTTGTTTTTTGTCTGCCTGTGCGTCTCACAGATAATTGAAGAATTTGTCTAACATCTGTAACAACAAATTTCCCACGTGTGGGACTAATAAAGCTTATCCCATCTTTGGGGCATGTTATAACAGGCGCTGGTGTGGAGTAATATCACGTTACAAATTGCAGTATAGCCTACACATCCTGTTGTCACTATCTTAATTTGTATCTGTTTCGAACTTTCAAACTTTCACTGTGCTGTAAGCGTCTTTATCATGTAAAACACGTCGATGGTCTGTGGTTTTGAGGAGACCCTCGCTGCACTCAGATGCTGACAGTTTTTAAGCGTGTCACCTCGCAGCGCGGACTTTCCAAAGGAAGAAATAAAGTAAGAGAGAGGAATAAAATTAGTCTCCATGTACACTGGGACGGATGCTGATGCGCAAAGCTCGTGTTCATCCTTGAGGTGTCACTTGATTTTATCAAAAACCACCGCCATGGCTCATTTTGGTGCTTTGTGACCTTTGCGGTTTCAGGCATTATGAAGCTGTCACACTAATACCATAACCCTGTGAGTCAGGGAACAGATGGCCATGTTTCCCTAAACCTAAACAAGAAAGGTTTAGTCCCTAAACTTAACCGAGTGGTTTTTCCCAGCTAATAAACTGGCAAATCATGCCTCCGCTACTCCTCCAGCCTCATAATGAGTACTTTGCATGTTTCCAGAGATGGACCGTTACCCTTCATTGGTCGATCGCTGTAGCCGTCGCATCGACAGGGTGTCGTCAAGACAAAAGGGCTGCATATGAAAACGTGATATTCCTGTTCGTCTCTGCCACGTTAAAATACAGAAAATCACTACCTGCTATATTTATTGTGGATAATGTCGCTGTTTCAGGTGCAGGTTCAGTCGGGTAGATGAACGCGTTACAGCGACAAATTTAACGTCAACGATGAATTCTGTCAAATTGGTTTTTTGTACTGAGGTTTTTTTGTTACTGCCTCCGTTAAATTTGTTGCTGGGAACTCTGTATCACTGAGTGAATTACACAGGTAGGCATTAAGTTCAATCGAGAAAAAAAAATACTGTTGCTGTGTGTTTCACTTTTGTATATCTGAGTTTTGCAGTGGGAGCTGTCAGCGGGAACGGAAAACTTTGAACATCGCGGCCTCTGAGCCGTGATTTTTACCCTTCAGCGCGCTCCGCAGCAAAAACTCGTATTCGCTTTATTTCGTGCGAAGCTGCCTCGCGGTTTTGATTTGTCACATCATTTCAGCTTCGGTTTCTAATGAGTCATCGAGCCAGACAGTTCACGATCAAATTCTTTTCTTCTGTTTTTTCTGCTCTCTTTTTCTTGTCTCACAAATGGTTAATTTATTCAGTATTGGGGCGTCAGTTATTTAACAGTTATTTATTACCTTATTTTTTTTAATATGTGTATATATATGTATGCTTGCATGCATGCACAGACTTTCCAGTGAGTTCTCTGTTGGGGAATTTAAGCCCAGATTGGTGGGTGTTTTTGACTGTAATCTTCACATGAGCAATGTTTAGTCCCTCCAGCCTCCACACGGGGATGTCTGAGGTTACAAGTGGGGGCGAGACCTAGGCAGCCAGTGACGGGGAGACCCACAGGGAGCTAAAGCTCACAGTGATACCCTCTGAGACGAGGCATCTACGGCCAGCCATTAATAAACCTTCCACAGACTCAACTTTTTTTAAATAGCTCTTCAGACAGTGCAGACGAGCCATTCTCACTAATCCTGCGTCTGTAAGACTCATCTACTTGTTTACAATTTTAGTCTCTGCCCACTGGCGATATCACTGGCTGAATCCCACGGAGTCACTGGCAACACTTTCGGTGATTAATGTTTGTACTAATAACGAGCTTGACTCATTGCTGCTTCTCTTAGCGTTGATTACTCATCTGAGGAGCTAATGTGTTCATGCAAAAAAAAATAGATTCATTAGAAACTAAATTAGAAACTGGAGCTCTACATCAAACAGGGATTTTCTATAAACACTCATAAAAGAAGCAAAAAACAAAACCAGCTCCTTCTCATTGTGAAATAAAATGACACAAAAATGTAATAAACAGATTAAAAACAACACAATATCAATTAACACTTAAGTTTGGACATCTCAGCACAGCATCAACAAGAACATTACTAGTCACGACACTCGCACTCGTCCACTCGTGGAAGTTTGAGCAACAACCTGAATTATTTTATGCAACCTGTTAAGTGGGAGGCTCAGAGGTACAGATTTGTATCATCGAGGGGAACCTGCCACGTTGCACTCCAGTGCTAAATGATGTTTACTCTGAAAAGCAAAGAAAAACTAGATTAGGCTTTAAGTCATGAAGTGATTGGTTAAACTGCAGGTAATAAGAACAAGTAACCAAAAGTCACCCAAAGGGCCTCTCTGTGATTCAGTGAAAAGGGTGGTGTCATTAAAGAAGAAACACAACAGCCAATCGGTGATGAGGAAAAGAGGACAGGAAGTGATGTGTGGAAAAGTGAGGAAAGGGGTAAATAAAATAAACCAACTGGACCTTTTTAAACATTTTCCACAGTTGTTAGAAAGAGCTCGGGCTTTCTGTACGAGTCTCGGCAGATTCAAATGTTTTACGGACGAATGACAAACAGCAGATTTTTCTCCTTTGATTTGTGCGTCATTGTCTCCTCCCCTCGCTGTGGCCACGTGTCTTTTATATACTGATGGTAAAAACGCTCCCTGTGCATTCTCACTGATATTTCCTCCTGCATCCTCCTCTCTCCTCTCCATTCCTGTTGCATTATGCAAGGTGTGCTGAGGTCACAGACAGATGGATGGCACACATTAGAGAAACAAGAAAAGCTTTCTTCCTCGCCTCCTCTGCTTGTAGGGGGCGATCGTGGCTCAAGAGTTGGGAGTTCGCCTTGTAATTGGAAGGTTGCCGGTTCGAGCCCCAGCTTGGACAGTCATTTCACCCGTGCTGGTGGTGGTCAGAGGGCCTCGACTCTGTCAGTGCGCCCCAGGGTGGCTGTGGCTACAGTGTAGCTGCCATCACCAGTGTGTGAATGGGTGGATGACTGGATGTGTAAAGCGCTTTGGGGTCCTTAGGGACTAGTAAAGTGCTATAGAAATACAGACCATTTGTAACTTTGGTGCGAGACACCAAAACACGAGAAATTGAGGATGTGCTGCCATGGAAATGGGGAAGCAGTGGATCATTAAATTGGTTGGTGTTGTTTTAAGTGACTCCCACACAGAGTTAACATCAGGTGGCGTTTGTGTGTCTGCAGGGTGTGATCGACTACATCTTCTTCTCCAAGACCCACATGAGCGTACTGGGCATGCTCGGACCGCTCGACAGCCAGTGGCTCATAGACAACAACATCACGGGCTGCCCCCACCCGCACATCCCCTCGGACCACTTCTCCCTGCTGGCCCAGCTGGAGCTGCACCCTCCCCTGCCCCACCCGCTCAACCCCCTCAACGGGCTGCACCTGCCGGTCCACAGGTAGTGCACCCTGAGAATGAGAGAGAGCGCCCCTTTTTACCTCACCTTTTAAACACTGTCCCACCTCCTCCCTCCAGCTTTATACAGGACCCTGTACAGTTCACGTTAAACTCGGACACCATCTGACCGCCTCTAACCCCAAAAGGAGTGAAGTATTTGCCCCGGGTGTTGCTCCTTTTTATGTTTTTGCACACTGTATATTTTCTTTCTTTTCTCCCCTTGAAAAGGCTTGATACCAAATGTTGGGCTTGGGATGAAGTATTTCCCAACGTCTGTTTTGTTGTTTTGTTTTTGTTTTTTTTGATTAGTTGTAATCATGGCCGCTTAAAGATTCTACAATAACAAACTAATACAAACGACTGTTTAAGGTAAAGCTGCTACACAAACGTAAGCATCATTTCACACAGCTGTGAAATTTTTAGAGTACAGACACGTGATCGTATTAATGCTGCACAGTTTATAGAGCTGAAAGCTGCTTTCACTCCCAGATTAACTGACAGGTATTTAATTGAACGGGGGGGTCAACACTACAAAAAGAAAAACCTCAACCTTTTGAATGTTATAGGAGAATGTAGAAGGATTGTTTCTGTTGGTAATTGTTTTGCAAAAAGGTCCTTATTTGAGTTTCAAAAAACTAATTTGATAATAAGCGGGGAAATGGGTGCAAATTTTTAAGGATAAAATGTGCAAGCTGGGTGTTTTTTAAAAGTAATGCTATTTAGCATGGAGGTATGCGTCATCCTGGATCCATGTTTAGAATTAGGCCCATGTCACTCAGCATTGTATGAATTTCTTTCACTTTACCTCGGTGCGGTACGTCTTTTATAAAAGTGTTTTCTTTTTGCAAAGGCTTTTGTTCTCTGCAGCTCTGAAGTAATAAAACAATCAGTTGTTCGAATATTTTTCTAAGCCTTGCAGGCGGATTTGCTCAGACACTGCCTTTTTCCTGACATCCACAAACAGTCCGCTTCACAGTTTTGAGCTTTTCATGCTGTGATTTTTTTTTTTTAAACCCCTGATCTGCCTGGCCAAAGAATCCCCCGCAGCAAGTGACATGTCCTCCGTCAGTAATAAGACCTTTATTTATCGGTGCCAGAGAGAAAACGTATATCGTTTAATGTTTTAGTCAATGTTTCCTGACCAAGAGGCTGAATGTATTTACTAAAAATGCTCGCTATGAATTTGGTTCTCGGAGCCGATTAATGCCAGATCCCTGTGGACTCTAAACTTTGTGTATTTGTGTCAGATGATTAGAAGGAATAGCTCTTTATTCTGTAAGTCGTAACTCAGGGCTATGCTATGCATCCAGCAGCACCTTTCACACTAAAGACTCTCAGAGTCATGTCGTACGAGCAAAACCAAACAGGAAGCTACTGTTCTGAAAAAGCACAGGTAATGTATGTGTTTGCATACGGATATGCTGTTGTTCATCTTGTCGTTATAGAAGTCCCAGGTCTTTGTGCATTTTTGATAAAATACTGATGCACTTTTACTCCTAACCTGGGAAAATCGCATTTGTCCTAGTTTTAGAAGAAACAAATAGAGCATATTTGGTCAGTTTTAATTGAATAAGAATTTAGTTTGCTTTAAGGCCTTTAGAGAGGCTGACGCGATGAATGATAAGGGATCGGACTGGGTGTCAGTACTACATGTTTTCAGTGCCAGTACAAAGAAAATGAGAAATTATTTTTTAAGATGGAGAGGGAGGAACATAAATGTTTTGGAGTTTTTCCTCAAAGAAATCTCACATGATTAAACCAGCAGCTGCAAATCCACACACTAAAATCTGCATCCTGTTTATTATGGGAACTTTGCTCTAGTCTCTGCCCTTTTTAACTCGTTGTGTGATTTCTGTCAGCTGTTAAAGTCTTAAAACAGAATATCACTCTTTCAATACACTGCTCACAATTCAGCTATGCAAACTGAGACAAGTGGACATGGCTTGTATTAAAGTGGATGTTATGTGTTTCCAGCTCAATCTACCAGAGTAGCTTTGTATGATTACTGTTCAGAATAATCCTTATTTATCTTACACTGGGCCTTACTGCAGCCTCTTAGTTCCTCTTCTGTTTGAAACGACCAGTTTTAGCTCCTCTCTCATTCAGACCCGGGTTCTCAAAGTACGGCATGTGGACCAGTGGGGGCTCGTAGTAACAAGGAAAATTAAAGTACATGTAAAGTGTTCATAAAGAGGCACAGAGGAGAGTTTTAACCCTTCTGTTGTATCTGTCATAACAGACACTGTTGGTGCCAAGAAATATCACCTCATTAAATACCATTAAATTTAAAAACCAGGACAAAAATAATAAACCTAACTATCTAAATGTGTCTGTGCAGCCCCATACTCTTCCTAGTTTAAGACCACCCACTCTTTAAGTCAGCTTTCTTCTGATTGGCCGCCCCTCTGAAACTGCAGCTAGGTGGGGACTCTGTGTCTCAGATGACCAAATTAAGGATATCCATCTTTTGGCCTCATACAGACCTAAGAGTAGAAAAAAAACTAATCTTAGTGTCGCCACTCAGCTGTTTAGCTCCCTTCCCCCTTCTCTTCAAGTCAAATTTCTTCTGATTAGTTGCCCCTCAAAACCTGCAGGTGCCAGTATGACCTTATTTGGCACTTCCTCTCTATTTAGCTTCATAAAGAAACGAGAGTTATAAAAACTGTCTGAAGCAGAGCATCAGAGCAGTATGAAGCACGGGATTTAAGCTCACGTAGCTCATGTACATATGCTGACTTCATTATTTGAAACCTTGGACATACTTACTATGTACATTGTGTCCTATTATCTTATTTTTTTCCCTCATTTCTACACTGGAACAGGAAAAGTTTAAAAGATTGGGAACCACTGGTCTGAACACAGAAAAGTTAAGCTTAGTTAAATCAGAAACCATCTGATTTCAAAGAATGAATTCAAAACATCTGATATTAAAAACCAGCTTTTTCTACACATTTTAACTGGTGCAGCATGATGGTTGACACTCAGTCCTGTCTGTGCAGGCAGATGTGCCTCTTAGTGATAAACATATCTGGCACATTTCGCACTGTAGTGTGTAGTAAACCTGGATTAGTTGAACCAGTCAAAGCTTTTCCTGTGTTTGAAAGCCATAATTCTGGGATACGTGGCGTCGGCACAGCGCGGCGTGTGACCGTGTAGCTGCAGCTTTAAATCGCAGGTTCTTCACTTTTACTGGCCTTCTGTTGCACATGATTTAACGCTAAGGAGTTCACCTCTGGGTTCGGTGGATTCGATCCCGGTGAGCATTTAGAGGCCTATACTTCACTCCTGAACTAACCTCACAGGGTTTTTATTTCCTGGTTTTTGTACCACAGCTGTACATAAATGAATCTGTCTTTGATGACGGCATGTCTTTCACATCTGTGAGGGGAATGTACCATTCTCCTGATAAAGGGGCGTAAAATTTTCTCACAATTCAAACGTGTACTTGGTGTTGTAATTTTCTTCTAAAGATCTCGTGTGAATACCACCTCCACATTTGTCTCTGATGCTCTTGTAGAGACTGGACGGGTCTCTGTTTCCAGCTCTTGTTTTTGAACTACGGGCATTTTCTGTCTCCAACATGCAGTCTTTCAATTAGTACTTTGTACTACTCAGTATTACCAACATTTTTTTTTTTTTTTTTTGGAGAAAAACCATAAATATTCTAGGTTTAAAAGCAGCTCGTCTATATGGGTTTTATTTCTCCAGTGTCATCTCAAAGCCTCACTTGCTTCTTTTGTTTTCCTGTCATTTCTGCTTTCACACACATTAAACACCAGTTACGTTCGCATTTATTCCACAACAATACCAAACTGTCATCACCTGAAAGCAGTTCACTTGTTAATTTTGTCTCTGTAGATGCACCTCATACACTTTTTCTACAAACAATGTGCCTAGTTTGTACAGTTTCTCCAACAGCAACACTGCCCATGAGACCAAGACCCTCAGAGATTAACCCAGCACCATCGCCCAGCCAACACCCTTCGATCCATCCTTCCATCCCTCCAAGCCAACTTTTCATGTGGTGAGATTGTGGGAGGAATTCAGGACTTTCTTTCCCTTCAGTTTCTGTTACGTTATGTAAAACGGTCACTCTCACTTGTTTGTGGTTTCCTTGCTAGGACAAAGATCATCACAAGCATCACGTGGAGTTTCTGAACGTAGAAATCCTGATGTTTGATGTCTGGCTGTAGTTGATTTTTAATTTTTGTTCCACTGTTAATTCAAACTGTCTCGGCTACTGCCCATTAGTCTTTGGTGGTGAATACGATGCCTGGCGATAGTAACTGGGGGAAACACGCAGACGTTTTAATTTCATTGTCATGTTTGTACTCTGAATTTTATGGCTGTAGGCCAGCTCGCTGCAGAATCTCTACACAGAATTTAAGAAATACGACTAATGAAAAATGGCATTATGGACGAGTATGTTCATTATATCGATTAAAGGGGACCTATTATGCTTAGTCCTAATCCAGTCCACTCTGGAGCATCTTCAGGTGGATTGCAGTTCAAAGTAATCTTTATTTACATCATGTTTAGCCTTGATGCAGCAACTCAGGTATTTTAGCTCCCTTTAAGCCCGTTTTCTACTGATTGGGTGCCCCTCATCAGCTGCAAGTGGGCGGGGCTTCTGTGCCTGAGATGACCATATTAGGTATATTCACTTTCTCTGCCATCATATAGACCCAAGAATAGGAAAACAGGATGTTTGCATCAGTCTGAAGCCTGAACTTGTATTGTACACACTCTGACCTCATTATTACAGACTTTGGACATGTTGAGCATGAACATTGGATCAGTACAGAGATGGCAGACAGACAGGAAAAAGCAGAATCGGTCTCCTTTAATTCACTGTGGAAAATTAATTAAGAAAGAATTAATTAAGAAAGTCAGAAGCTCAACAGATTTTCAAAGCTGAAGAGCAAATTTCATTTTTCAAATCCAAATTTTAGAAAATTTAAATAATGACAAAAACCAGAAATGCAATTCTGTTATTTCTGCAAAATGAATTAAAGTATTTTTAAAGTTTCTGCCTTTCATTGTTGTTTTAGTAATGTGAGGTAAGAGAATAAAAACTGGGCGTGCGTCTTCAGGCCAACAGCTGTCACCAACAGCTGTCTAGCTCTCGAGAGAGTTTTTAAAGTTAATGTTAATGAAGTTAATGAAGGTGGTATGCAGTTCTTCACCACACTGGTTTCCAGTCCAACAAGCGTCCACCGCAGGCAGGAGGAAGCACCCAGTCAGCTTCCCCTGATTGGAAAACGTTCAGCTGTGGTGAACAGCTCTTACCAAAACCAAAGTTTGCCCCATTTTTGGCATTTAAATGTTAAAAAAAAAAGAGGAAAAGAATAATGTGGGTGACGACGTCATTTCTGTTTAGTTCCTCTGACAAAAAAAGAGAGAAATGCAGATCTCTCCTTTGTAGAATTCCTGTTGGCTTCTAAAATTTAAATTTCAAATCAAGGAAATGCACAAATTTGATTCTGGTAGAAAACTTCACAAGACACAGGATTCCAAGACACGTAAAAAGTGATTTAATCTGAGAAAATTTAGAGATTACATGTTCATCTAACATACACAAATATCCTGTGAAAGTGCTCTCAAACGGGAACTCATTTTCTCGCAATGTTAATTTATATAGATTTATGTAAATCCTGTTTACGTTAGAGCGAAATCTTTAGGGTTTATCACAGCTTATCACATTTGTCATGGGTCCCCAACTGTTAAAAAAGTGAGATAATTAATCATTGGACTACAATAAAAACAACATAAGGATTTATTGGAGAAAACTAAGGGAACAAAAACATGGTGAATGTGATTTTTTTTTTTTGTCTGTTTAAATTATTTTCTGAGATAATCCGTAATTCCATATAAATAAATAATGAATCCAATGTGTCAACAAAAATAAAATAAGTATTTTAAACCTGCTTCATCCAGTGTTCGGACTGTGGGAAATGAAATGGCCTCGGAAGCTACACGATTCCCAAAAACAGTCGTATAGAAAAACCTGAAGCTGTGATATTTACGTGAATAAAGTGAGGACTTCTGCAAAGGCTCCATCTGTATTTTATATGTGAGCATCACCTGTCCGTTACAAACAAATCTTCAGAGACACTCCCCAACAACTCACACCCTCTGTAGGCAATAAAATGTCATTTTTTGAAAACTCTTCTTGTCTGTGCTTTATTTTTATGTTTTTTTAAAAAGTCAAAATTCAGGGATACAACACATATTGACATCATAGCAGTGGGTATTACAAAAATCTTTTTTTAATTAAAAAGTACAAATACACATGTTTAATGCAACAGTAACAGATACAAACTTAAAAAAGTGAAAGGTGTGCAACAATCTTCTTCAGTACCTTCTTCAAATATTAAGGTGGCACAGTTTAAAGGTATTTTTATCAATTCTATCAGAATTTCAAGCATAAAAAAAATCACATTCACATTATGTGATTTTCTAAGAATTATACCTTTGTCATCAAAGGATAACACTCGAGAAAATGAAACTGTATTCGGGCTGAATACAACAGGCTTGCTACAGGTAATTCAGATTGATGAAGGGAGGAATGGATCTGCCGTGTGATCAGAAGCTAGGTGTTGAAGCAGTGCGTGGCCCAGTGGTTGAGACGGCGTTCTTCCTGTAATTCAAAATAAAAACAGTGGAGTTAATAATCAGAATAACTCAAAATAAGCAAATTAGTTTTGGCTCTAAAAATGCCCCCCTTTTGACCAGTAAATACAGAAACTAAGTTAATAGGATTTTGTATAGAAAGTGAGCTAAACGTTAAAAATGCCGGTTCTATGAAATGTTTGCATGTATTCTAAAAGTGATAAGTGTATGACTGATAAGAAATTCTCACTTTTGCAGAGTTTTGAGAAGGCCTGGAAACCACTTGGCCTCTGGATTGACACAGATCTTAGCACCAGACCTCACAGTGATCCTGTTGAGAA